GGGGGGGGAGGAGGAGGGAGAAGGTGGCCGATCTTTGTCCTGAACGGAGCTCGCCGTGCGCTCATAACCGCGTCGCCAAGTCAACCCGCGGCTACTCTGCACATTATCTCCGAGGGTCAATACGCGCGACCGGGCAACCCCCTCCGGCCCTGCCCTCCTGATCGATGTGGTCACTCGCGGCCCGGGTGATAGCGTCGGGTCCTCTGCGGCGGCCACGAACAATGGGCTCATTGACGCCGGCGAGCAGAGATTAGGTGCGCAGGTCCCACGGCCTTTCACTCCCGGGTCTCCTGGGACTGCAGGTGGCCCTTTTCCCTGAAGAAATCGCCGAAACTCTCGCCGCCCGCGGGCTTCTCTGCCTGCCCCTCGGGGAGAGCCGAGCATCAGCAAGCCGGGGAGCTGCACGCTTTCCCGGACTCGCTGACACCGCTCGGGCGGCCGGGACTCAGAACGCAAACGTGAGGACCGCACCGGCCTCCCACAACAGAAGAAATCTGCAGGGAGGTCCGTGTGCTCAACGGGCTTTTTGCCCTTAAGTGAAAATGAAGAGCATTCAGAATTGCGCACTCAAATCCACGTGCATTTAAAACACAAGTATTTCCAGTAAGGAGAAAATATATTAAAACCTGCTCACAAAGTCCTGTATGTAGGCGTGTGGTTTAGGAAAATCAGCTTGCAGTGATTTTCTCTGGCTTGCTTCCTTGTGGCTCACGCTCCCTTTTGCCGAGGCTTTTCTACAAACGTGTTCAGTTTTTCTAAAACAGTCCGCGGCAGTTTGAGGAATGTCATCATTCCAGGAGGACCCAGTCAGAGGCTGGTCTGGCGGCCCAGCGCTGGCGGGTCAGCGGGGTCGGTCATTCCCAGGCCGGGGCTGGGCGCCACCATCACCCGGAGGTAGTCAGTCTGCACCAGTGGGTGCAAAAAAGTGCCTCAGAGTGCCCAGAATTTTCCGAATGAGTTGAAGCCACGCATGGACGTTGCCGTGAAAACGCAACATTTTTGTTTTCGTTTTTGTTTTTCTAAACGCCCCACTCCCCCCTGGGCCTGCCTTAATTCAATCACACTCGGAAGAGTGGATGTTCTCCACTGGCAGACTCCGGCCCGGGTCTCAGGATCCGTGGAGAGTCATCCCGGATCTGGAAACCCCGTGCCAACCCTCTGCCCCGGCCTCCCAGCCACAGAGGGCGGCCGCTTCTTTCCCGCTTGCCACACTGGGAAACTGCGTTCTGAGTTGACCAAATGGGCCCCAATTTTCCAGAATCAAAATTAACAATACCCTTCAAAAAAAATGTAAAAAGCCACTGTGAATGCCTCTGAAGTTACCGTTTACACCCCAGAAGTTTATGGAGCGCAGTCTCAGATAAAAACACACAACAAATGATGGAGTTTTATGTGTTCTTGCACTGACATCATTGGAGATTGTGACCAAACTTCATAAATACAATAGAACCAGTTGTTTCGGCCTATAAAGCTGGGGTCCGCAAACTTTTTGGACAGTATTCCCCAACAGTTAAAAAAAAAATACAACCTCAACATATGAGTATTAAAATTATATTCGTGTACTTATGTATTATGTGCATTTTCAAATAGAAAATAGAAACGTATAAAGCGCGATGAACATGTTTCCATAAATGAACAGAAGTTCTGCTATTTTCGTGCGCGCCCCACTTTGCAGAGCAGGGCCAGCTGCGCATACGGGCGTGTGCAGCAAACTAGGCTGAGAAAGAACATTGAAACAAATGCAGGTGCTCGCGGGTACCTGGGCCTTTCTTCTGAAGACAGTCAGCCAAGCCAATAATGGCCCGAATCTGAGACACGTGGGACACGGCGGAGCCTATCGCGCGGCGGCCTGTCCGCCTGTCCCCGCCGGCCGCGGGTTTTCTCTGAGAACAGTGCGGAGCTGTCAAAGCGAGCGGGGGCGGCTCCGAGAGTGGGAGCGCCTCACAGAGCCAAGTCGCCGGCTCCAGCTCCCTACTCCCGGCTGCTGGTCCCCAATCTCCGGCTGCAGCCATGAACGGCGAGGAGCAGTACTACGCAGCCACGCAGCTTTACAAGGACCCGTGCGCATTCCAGCTGGGCCCGGCGCCGGAGTTCAGCGCTAGCCCCCCTGCGTGCCTGTACATGGGCCGCCAGCCACCACCGCCGCCACCGCCCCCGTTCCCCTGCGCCCTGGGCGCGCTGGAGCAAGGCAGTCCGCCGGATATCTCCCCGTACGAGGTGCCTCCCCTCGCCGAAGACCCCGCGGTGGCGCACCTTCACCACCTCCCTGCTCAGCTCGCGCTTCCCCACCCGCCCGCCGGACCCTTCCGGGACGGAGCCGAGCCCAGTGCCCTGGAGGAGCCCAGCCGCGTCCAGCTGCCTTTCCCGTGGATGAAGTCTACCAAAGCTCACGCGTGGAAAGGCCAGTGGGCAGGTAAGCCTGGCTCCCCGCCCCTTCCTCCTCTGCGCTCTGGGCCTCGCTGCCCCTATCCTGCTCCAGTGCCCAGCCCCCTTGAATAACCCAGGGTCGGACTAAACTACACTAGGGAGCCAACCAGGCCATCCTGCAGGGAAGCGCTTATCTGGTCCAATTTGGAGCATCTTTCCCATCCAGCTTTCTTCCTGAGAGCTTACACTCCTTCCCTCCCTGTACGGTGAGCCCATCTTTTTTCCAGAAGCCGGTGAGCTCCCAGCACCGTCCCCAGACAGCCGAGGCCTAGCCAAGCTCAGGGATTCAGGGTATGGCAGCCCAAGACTCCCCGGCCGTGCGCGCCGAGGCAGCCGAGCAGGGCCCAGGGTGTCTCTGGCACAGGCCCTAGAGCACCTTCAAAGCCCCGGGTCCACTCAGTCCCCGGGGCCGCCCCGGCGGCTTCATTAGAGAAGCGCAGGCAGTCTCGGGGTGCCGGGTAGATTCAGAAAGATAGGAAGGAAAGGAAAACTGCATCCAACCCCGCAAAATGTCCGGTGGCCCTGGTGGCGAAAGGGGGTGGAGAGAACAGGGAGGAGCGGGGGTCAGGCGGGGGGTGGCTCTCACCGCGAGACGCAAAGCCGGCGGCTCAGCCTCGCAGCCGGGCAGCTCGAAGAGGCGCCAGAGATGCTAGTTCCTTTCTGACCAACCGAAAGAAGGGGTCTTCCCGCGCTGATTCCCGGGGAGTAAGTTTGAAGGAGATGCGCCCTCCGTGCACAGCCGGCCCAGGGAGGAAGGAGCCTGGGGTTCCCGCGGCCCTGGACGCCGACGTGTAACAGAAGGTTTCTCCCTGAGCTGGGAGGCGGAGACGCTGAGCAGCCCCCAAGTCCCTTCCCCGCCCCGAGCTGGCGGCGAGTTCCGGCGCGGCCTGTGCCACCGCCGCTACACAATGTTATCGCTTCCGTGCTGCAGCTACTTCTGGTCACACCTGCATTTCAAACAGTTGCCTTTTTTTTTTTTTTTTTTTTTTTTTAACTGACAGCCGGGAGAAGGGAAAAGAGGCTCGATCTGGCGCCCCCCCCCATCCTGGGCGCCGCGTGTGCAGGGTCTGCGCAGCCCTGCGTGACACTGACCCGGGCGCAGCCAGGCCTCTTTGCGGGGGGCGGGGAGGAGGAAGAGCCGGGCTCGCCCAGGGTCCCAGGGGCTCACCTCTTTCTAGTTCACTGACTCGCCTAAGGCAACGGTCCTGAGGCAGGGCTGAGCCTCAACTCGGCTGCAATTGTCCCCACCTCTGGCGAACCCCTAGAGAAGAGGACGGCAGATGCTGCCTAGGGTCCTCTTCGTACTTTTCCAGCCCGCGCGGGCCGGGCCAAAGGCCTAGGAGTGTCAGGAAATGCCGGGTTCTTGGGAGGCGGGAGGCTGGCCCCTCGGAGCGGGATGGAGGTGGGGGGCTCTCGGCGGTAGTTTCCTGCCTAAGCTGCCTTCCCCAGGGTCCCCTTCCCACAGCGCGCTGGAGACGCGCGTTCCCAGCATCGCGGGCCTCGCAGCTACTGCCCTCCTAGTCGGGGCTTCTGCAGGAACAGGGCGAGGGGACCGTGAGAGAGGATTGCCGAGGGGGGCTGACTTGCCCACCCTTCCCCAGGGGGCGTCAGCCCTGCTCTGCTGGAGCTTGGGTTCAGGCGGACCCAAGAAACCAGGAAGTAAAACCCGAAGGAAAATCTGCAGCCTTGCGTGGGGGTCGGGGGGACCCTAAGCGGGCGACACTCGGGCCGGGAGGCCAGGCTGCAGAGGTCTTTGCCGGCGCCGTCGGACCCGCCGCCCGCTCCGCCTGCGGGGAAGGGCCGGCCTCCGCTCCCTTCTGGAAGCCCCCGCGGTACTCCTGGGAAACTTTCCCAGGAGCCGAACTGGAAGCGTTGGCGGACCCACCTGCCTGCGTCCAGTGGGGTTTCACGCCCCTGGGAAGAGCGACGTGACCAAAGGGCTCTCATTCGCAGTCCGAGTGTGACTACTAATGACAATAGTGACTTCCGAAAACCTTGAACTGCCTCAGCCGGGCTAGCCGGCTGGCACCTAAACCGCCTCACAGTGCGCCCCACGGAAGGGCCCAGACCTGGGGCCCCTGGCTCCTTCCCGGCATCACCAGCACCAGCCTCCATCCTCAGCCTCCATCCCCTGCTGCCTCGTCCTGGGCACAGGTCCCCCGGCGTAGTGGACCCCGCGCAGCCTCTCGCAGTGCCTCGGAGAGGCCGGCAGCCTAGGGGAGGTTGTGGGTTGAATATAAGAACCTTGAGGGCCTTTTCTAATGTTCCCATCAGGCCCCCTAGCTTCTCTCCCAGGCCAGTGGAGACCCAGGAAATGGAGCTGCCTCCCAGGGAGCAGGACGCCTCCAATGACCAGGGACGCCGCTTCGGCTTCTGGCACCTCCGCTCCGCCTGGGGAGAAACCCGGGCGGGTTTCATCGTGAAAGTAACCCCTTCGGCTCCCTACGCAGCCCACACCTGCACCCCCATACATACCCACAGCCCTCAGCACTCCCCCCACACACTCCCACCCACACACACTCCCACCCACACACACTCCCACCCACACACTGGCCTCTAACTCTCTAAGGCTTTGCCAACAGCCACAGGAGAAATGTCCCTGCCTCCTCCCTAAGACACGCTGACTTCAGCCCCTTGCCGAAGCTTCGCTGGTACTTCCCGCACCAACGCCCACAGCCCGGGTGCAGTCGGTATTTTGCACAGAAAAGTAAAGTTCGGAACCTTGAGGGCGCAGCGGCAGATACGAGTGTGCGGCGCTCATCTCCCGGGCGGGGCCTCCTGGTGGCTTCTCGCACCCGCCCCGGCCCCACCGCCTCCTCCCGCACTCTCAGCTCCTCGGCGGGGCGCCCGCCCCGTGCCCCCCTCTCTGCCTCTGGGCATTTGGGGCCCAGGGCACTGAGTCCTGGGCCGTCAGCGTCCTGCCCCCTCCTAATGGCGACTTTCACCAGAAAAGCATTCCTTCTCCTCATGAACAGAAGCCCCACGGAGGTTAAAACGACAATTGTAGAGAATTTTCTGGCTCTCCGGTTGGGCCTCATTACAGTATAACTACAGAGAGAGATGTGGTCAGACATAACAAAATACGTCCTAAGCTGCATTAGCACAGAAACTTCAAACTGCGGTTGCACCCGTTGGTGGGTAGTGAAATCCACTCACCGGGTTGAGATCGGCATTTATTTTTAACGAAATAGCAAACAATGGGAATAATTAGCATCGTACGTGGTAAAGGTTGGTTTCATGTCCTCCAGTGAAACCATATGTCAGTTATACATCCTTATGTGAACTGGATAGTGGTCTCAAATGTATTTCTTACAGTAGGTCACCGTCAGAAAGTTTCGGGGTTTTTTGTTTTGTTTATCCTGTATTAAAGGCATTTTCCTGCCTTCTTAGAACGGGTCGGTTACGTATCTCTAATGTGCATTTTAATCAGCCTCATCCCAACACCGGTTCAATGAGCTAATTCAGCAAGCACTACAGGACGGTGAGAGCCAAACGTTGGCTCGCGGTGACAGCCGGCGCAGCTCTGGCCTCCGGGGCAGGGCCTGGGGCTCGGGGGCTCTGGCTGGAGCAGCGTGAGAGCGTTGCCGCTCCTCGAACCAGAGCCGGAGTGGCGGGGCTGCGGGGACGGGGCGGGGCTGAGGGCGTGGCGGGGCTGCGAGGGCGTGGCTGGGGCGGGGGGGGGGGGG